GATGAGATGAAAGAGACTCACAAGATAGAACGTAGAGTGCATGCTGCTTTGGGTATGTTATCGGGCCTTGACTGGAGGCCGAGTCATGCTATTTAATAAGCGGGATTGGAGGTCCAGTATGAGGACGCTGATCAATTTCCTTAGATTCGAACCAAGAAGCCCATGGATCTAGTTTTGCTGGGCTTAGTGCATTGCTTTCTATTATTTCCCAGATTTGCTTTTGATTTCCAGGGTTTACCTTTTTAATTATCCAATTAATTAAATGCCAGATGCTCAGGTAGTCTCCAGCAAGGAGATGGTCACGGTAAAGTTGGGAGTGATGGCAAATTCGCATCTCAGGACACTCATTCGTCATGCGCTCGGGGGAGTTTCTGCACGCACCACCTTCCTTTTAATTAAAAAGTCATATTTCTTTATTGGTATTAGTTGTTTGTCCCTCGAGTGGACGTTTAATATTATATTACATGGTGTTTTCAAATAATCAATTTTTTTTTTGTATTTTTGATATTAGCTCATTAAAATTATAGAAAATACTAAAAACAATATTAATTTGATATTTTTTAAAATAAATATACTTTTAAAAAACATTTAAAAATAAAAAATATCACAGGTTATATAAATCTAGAATCATAGTTGTGATAGAGACCTTCTAAATAAGTGTGAAGGTGGTGAATGCAATTGCTCCTTCCTCCTCACGAAGGGGTGTTGCGAAGTCTACCTAACTATTTAGCTCAAATGAGTAGATAAAAATATGGTGATTGATTCTATAAGTTAGTTTTTTATTACTTAGTGATATTGTGAGAAGATGTAATACTTAAATAGATTACCCTTCCTAATAATAAATATATTTGTTGTTCATTGATTTTAAAATTATCTACGAAAAGGAAAAAATATAAAGTAATAAATATTTTTTTTTACTTATTTTGCTGTTTTCATTTATTGTAGTTCTAATATAAAAAGATTAAATACAGAAATAAAAATATAGATCGTAAACAAAAAGATTGAAGTAAAACTCCATCAATTAATTTTCTTTCATCAAACAAATTAAAGTAATTGAGTATCGCTAACCCCAAATTTAAAATTTATTTTTATCTTGTTTTGGGATGTTTGTTAAGAATTTAATGAGATTTTTTCATAATTCTGTTATTTTTTCTTCTTCTTTTTTTTTTGCTCGGATTTGCTATTTTATCAAAAAAAAATTGAATTCTTCTTATAGTGATTTTTTTCTAATTAATTAGATAAATTTTATAGGTTTGTCTTAATTATACTTAAACTTTTTTATGTTTTGTTTTAGCAAAGCCACCAAAATTACTAATTTTTCTTATGCTATATGTTTTGATTTTAAGTTAAACTATGAATAAAATAAGAAGAATCGACTCTTTTTTTGAGAAAAAGAGAGCAAATATTGATAATTCACAACCTAGTGAACCAACTCTAATGCGTAATGTTGAAGTTATGGTTAAGCAATCTCAATGTGCTTCAGTTTACAAAAAAACTAAATTAATTAGTGAGCAACCTCTTATTAGAATTGATATTGCTCATTTAATTAGATACCCAAGCAATAATCTTCAAATGTGAGAATACTCGGTTAATCAACAAGGTAAAATTTGAAGGGCAAACATTATATTGAGCCATATCAACTTTTGATATCTAAATGTTTACTAATTGGTGGAAAACATCATCGTTGATTTTAGTCCCATTAGTTCAAAATTAAGTTATCTATGGCTTGAATATTCAAAGAAAAATACTGTATTTTATTTCCCTTGCTATTTATTTTTAAATAAACCATCTGAAAAGTCAAGATCAAACACATTTACAGTTAAAGGATTTAATTGTTGAAAGAAAGTTAATGATTAAGAACAATGTATTTTTTTGACTCGTATAAAAAAAGATCCAAATTCAGTTTATAGATTCACAATTGATATGATAATTAATTATTTTTATTTTATGAAAGAATGACAAGCATATTTAAAATAAATATGTAAGTATCATTCTTTATTATTTTTTATTTTATTTCAAAGTTTATCAAACATAAATAATGCTTCACTTTATCTAATGTTTCTTATATACTCTGTATGTTTTTATTTGATAAGTATAAAAACAAATAAAACTAAAGTGATGGATATATTATGAAGATTAAATTAATTTCATCACTTTTATTTAATTTGGTATTGCTCAAAACATTTTACTTTATGAAAAGTTCATTATATATTTATATTTTTTTATAAATCATGTACAATAAATTCAAAAATATATATTATATATTAATTTTGTCCCCTTAGCTAATCATATATATATAAACAAACAAATAAATAAGATGCGCTTAGGCCTAAAAGACAAGACCCGCTCACATGCTAGGGTTTTTTTTTGTGAAAAAATAAACTTGTCGATTGTGATATTTTTTAGTGGTTTGGGTTTGTTGATAGAAATATTAAATTCTTCTCGAAAAGATAAATTCATTAATACAAAGAATAAAATTTTTAATGGTCAAAATATGACCTTTTAAGATCTTGTTTTTTCCTTAATTTTTTTGGTGACTTTATCTCTTAAAAATATTCAAGGATTGAAGTGTTAAGACAATAAAAAATATGAATTACTAAAATAGCAAGGACCAAATGATAGAAACACTACAACTTTAAGGACTAAATAAGAATAATAAATGTGATTAAACAATGTAAGAAATCCATCAAAAAAAATTATAGAACATAGATTTTATTTTCATTGAGCATTCATGAATAGTTTTTTATTTTTGCATGTTATGTATAGAATAAGTGGAAAAAAAAATTGTTAACATTCTCAAAAAACTTTATAATATTATTTAAGAATCATGATAAATAGAATAGTAATTTAAGTATCATGTCAAGCCTCTTTTCAATACATTTCAATAAGAATAAATTAAAAAATTTAAAAAAAAAGAAAGAAAAGGGCCAACATCAAGGGTAAAAAGATGAGTTCACGCCTCTAGCGTAACAGAAAAAAGGCTTGCATGCTTATTTTTTTTTCTATTTCTTTTTATCAAAAAATAAATGACATGTTATTTATTATTTTTATTAATTTTTTTAATAAAGTAAATAATACATCATTTACTTGCCTAATTTTTAACTATCAGGGAGGTGTTAGAAGATTAAGTTGAGTTTCTCGACCCTTAAAAACTCAGTTTTAATCTTTTTTTATTAATAAATATTTTTATAACCTCAATAAATTAATTTTTCAATACAAAATATCTCTAAATCAATTTAAAAATAAAAAATAAAAAAATTTCTTAACTTCAATCAATTTTTTTAGCAAGATAAAGAAAACAAAACATTTCAATGAAGCTATTTTTTAATTAAATGGAATCCATTAACATGAAAAATAATTTTTTTTACTGTTAAAATGTGGCCTATCAACTATTTTCTCTCTTTTATATCGTTTCTAGCAATATTCTCTTAACTTTAGAAATTACAAAGTGAATAAAATAACATATAAAAAAAACTTTAATAAACATGAAAACCGAAAAAAATTGAGGGATGAAATTTTAGAAAAGCACAACAATGAAAAAAGAGAGTAAAAGGATTCATTTTTGTTAAAGTGTTAATTTAATCCTAGATGTTTTAATTTATTTTAATTAATGAAATTAAATTTTATCTTATTAAATCGAGCAATAATTTAATATTAAAATATTTTTTTGAGATCACAAAAACATTATTATAACAAGGTAATTAAAACAAATTATCAACCTGAAATCATAGTCAATGCAGTGTATTCCAATGAACAATACATTATTAGGTGATCCATGGTGATTTTTTATAGTGCATATGCGGAGTATTTTCTTCACATCACGACAATCCTACAACAAGCAAGGGGGAACGAGTTATCATATTCAAACCCCAACCGACAAAGCATAAAATATACAATGATGAATTAAAAATAAAATAAAATTAGTAACTAAAACAATCTTGAAAGAGAATAAATTATTTAAGAATGGACAAGTGGCTTGCTGGCAGGGTGGCTCCCTCCAAAGCCGAATGATTGGAAAAGAACAAAAGGATAATTTGGTAGTTAAACTTGAAAGTTAAAAAAGTAGAAGTAAAATAAAAAATGTGTCAGGGTGGGGTGAGGTGTAGGATGCAGAGAGATAAGCGCACATGCAGGCCCCTCTTTTGACGCCCGCCAATCATTATCGTCCCCATGTCATCGTGCCGTTTCCGACTATCCACGTGCTTTCACGGCTTCCCTCACGTGTAATAAATCTCTTGCTCTATTGTTCCTGTAGTTGGACCTTGATTGTTCACTTTTTTATTTATTTACGCACATATTAATAATTGCTTGATTGATGCCATGGCTATCTTTTCTTTTGGCCAATTTTTTATTTACTTTCATTTTACTTGAAAATTACCGCATATATTGGAGAGATTTTATAAAATGTTGGAAATATATTGATCATGCGTATAAAGTCGGGACTTTTAATTAATATGTTTTAATGAACATTTAAAAATATAATTGCTATTCAATTCAAAAAGTTTTTTATTTGAAAATATATTAAAATAATATTTTTTATTTTTAAAAAAATTATTTTTAATATAAAATCATCAAAAAAAATAAAAACATATAAAAAATTTAAACAGCACACATAAACAACAAAGTGAGAAGTAACTTCAAAAAATAATTTCTCCTATCTATCAAGTCTCGACGATGGTAGTACAAAAGAAGATGAAAATAAAGGGAAAGGAAATCCTGTAGAAATAGCGGCGATGAGGGTACAAGAGAGAGTTCACGGCATGACCAGCTCTCTCTCAAGTCTCGACGTGCACGCACCAAAGCTAAACAAAGAAGAAGAAAAGAAGACACGTAGGTAGAAACGCTAAAAACGCGGTGGAAGAGGACCACCGAAGACTGCCGACATACGACAATGGTGCTATTTTTTCGTACTCTAGTTTACTCGATTCTCGTAACTTTTTGGATTTAATTTCCCCTCTCCAGCGAATATTCTTTCTCTCCCTCTCCATTGGGTGCCATAAGATAAGAAATACATGCAGGCAGATAGAGAGAGAGAGAGAGAGAGAGAGAGAGGGAAACTGGAACCGTATTTAAAACACACCAAACAGAGAGAAGGAAGGAAGGAGTGTTCTAAAAGCAAAGCAGCTCTAACTTAAACCTTTCCCTCCCTGTCCCTTCTCTCCCTCTCCCTCGCCCTTTCAAAGCAAAAAAAGAAAAAAAAGAAATCGAAAGAGAAAGAAGGGAGTTTGTGAGAGATGAAGGGAAAAGGAGGACATGTGGGATCCAGATTTCCTTTGAGCTCTTGGGAGGTTGCTGCTGCTTCCTCTGTTCTGTTGGGATTCGCTCTGGGTCTTTTGGGGGTTTACCTAACCATGCCTGAATCTGATTACAGTTTCCTCAAGCTCCCTCGCACCCTTGAAGATCTTCAAATCCTCAGGTTTTCTTTCTTTCTTTCTTTTTATTACCATTCATGTCTACCTTTTCTGTTGCATGGAATTGTTTCAACTTTTTCAGGATTTTTGAAAGAGATGGGCAAATCTTCGTCTTACTTTTTAAATAAATTTCATTCATTTGTGTTCTCTGCTGGGTGCATCTTTTTTTTTTTTGGGCTGGGGGGGCGTGTTTGATAGTAAAGGCAAAGCTGACTGTTTTATCAAAGCAAAATCAAGATCCATGCCTTTTAAAGTGAAATGTGGATTCCCTTTCTACTTGCCGATATCTATTAGTTTAATTCAGAACATCAAGGGATTGCTCTACTCTGCTCCGGTTGATAAAAAAAATGGCTGTAAATTTTCATGTGGATGTGACCCAATTGGATTATTCAAAGCAAGGATTTGTGGAAGGTTCACTGGATTTAGACCTTCATATGCAGGTGGTCTACATTTGAACTTCTGTTGCTTCGCAAGTTGAGCCAAAGCTTAGAATTTGTTTAATGGTTATTATATAGGAACTTGAACTAATGACAAGTATTGTTGGATTTTGCTTGTAATGTACTACTTGATATACCTGTCCTCTTGGGATAAATGAATTTGTACATCTCATGCGATCTCAAGGTGCTAAGACTTGGTTAAAATATCACTGGAAATTTGTACTGACTGTGTTTTTTCATTTCAAAAGATATTGCTTGTGTTTCCTTCCACTTGCTACTCATATTTTCTTTGCTTCAAATTACTGCAATTGTGTATTTCCTGGCCATATGTGTATAGTTAATGTGGACGCTATTCCGCAGGGATCACCTTGAAACTTATACAAGTGACTACACTGCACAAGTCCTGGTGGGATACTGTGTGGTCTACATTTTCATGCAGACTTTTATGATCCCTGGCACTGTTTTTATGTCATTGCTTGCTGGGGCTCTTTTTGGAGTATTTAAAGGTGTAGCTTTGGTGGTGTTCACTGCCACTGCTGGTGCTTCTTCTTGCTATTTCCTGTCAAAATTAATCGGGCGCCCACTTGTCTTCGGTCTCTGGCCTGACAAGCTTAGTTTCTTCCAAGAGCAGGTGAATCTCAACTCCTGCATAACTTTTGTTTATTTTTGCTGGAAAATTGTCGGAAAATTGTTTCTTTCACTCTCAGGTGGCTAGAAGAAGAGGAGGATTGTTGAACTACATGCTTTTCTTAAGACTAACCCCAACTTTACCAAATACATTTATTAATGTTGCTTCACCAATAGTTGATGGTCCTTATCACATTTTCTTCCTGGCAACCTTGATCGGACTTGTTCCTGCTGCTTATGTCACTGTTAAGGTATTTACTTGTGAAGCTTAGGTTTTTTTTCAATTGAATCTCTCTCTTCATCTGGCAAAAGCAGTGCTAAAAATCAACTGGTGTCTGGTGTTACCAATACTCTGAGAAGAGAATAACAGAGTCTACTTTTTATTGGAGTAAATGCCATTATATATATAAAGCATCATATATATACATGATGTTCCACCTCAGTCTATGAGTCATAAGTTGTAAAATCAAATGCAATGTGGTCTGATTGATTAAGAATTGCAAAGGTTTATGAATTCTGAATTGTTAAGGATGTCATTAACGGAGAACTTACATGTCGTTGCTGCTTTCTAAATATGTTGGACACCTGGTTATCATGCAGGCTGGAATAGCTCTTGGAGAATTGCAATCTATAGGCGATCTTTATGACTTCAACTCCATTGCCACTCTATTCCTCATCGGGATTGTTTCTATTACCCCTACATTAATAAGCAAGAGTAAATCATAGTGTTTTTCTGGAAATACTTGCTTGATGTACATGCGTCTTCAGCCACATAGCAGCCAATACGGTGCCACTTCGTTTCCGTACATCAAATAAATGTAAGTCGCAGCTGTCCCTGTTTGTGGATTTCACTGTCAAAGCTGCAGATGCCAGAGATGATGATCTCGGGAGGATGCCTGGCGTGCACAAGCTCATTCACCTCTCGGGGTTATTTATTTGTACTGGAGTTGTGGGATGGGTGGTAACCTGTATATTTTGAATGCCTAAAAAGAAAAAAAGAGTAATCAATCTCAAAGATATGAAAATCCTTTCTTCTAGACACATTAAAAGGTCTTAACCAGAGATTTTCTCCTGCTGCAGCCTCGCAGGCTACAGTTGCAATACTATGTTAATCAGTTCATGATGCACCTATTGATCTGCGGTGTTTGAGAAAGGGAATGATTGTTTTTTTTAATGTTTTGTTTTTTTATTTTTATTAAAAAAATATTTTATTTTTTAAAAAATATTTTTATATTGATATATCAAAATGTTTCAAAAACATAAAAAAAATAATTTTAAGTAAAAAAAAAAAAATTTGGCTGAAAAAAACGTTGACGTTATGCTTTTTCTATCGGAAAACTGTCAATAATTTCGGCTTCAGGAATTTAAAAAGATTAATGATTTCCAAAAGTCCAAATTCTTCAGAATTTCCAAAAATAAACTCTTAAATTCTTCCACTTTTGTTTACTTTAGAAATCCAACTTTTTAAAGAATCGCTTTCTCTAACCTGTTACTTTCTTTTTCTAGGTGGAAAATTATTTAATAGTATAGCCTACAGCATCTTGTACTTAGAACGATAGTTTTCTAGAACCAAGGTACCAGGAGTTTTCTTGAAAAAGATAATTCAATAGATTAACTTATTGTGTACTTTTAAAATTGATAAACTTGATGTTTTTTTGTTTTTTTGAATTAGACTTAATAGTAAATTTTCATTCTTTCCTTTCTGCTATAGCCTGCTCTAAGCGAATTATTTATTTGAAATTGTGATAGTAGTATTGATTTAAAATATTTTTTATTTAAAAATATATTAAAATAAATTTTTTATTTTTAAAAAATTATTTTTAATATCAATTTATATAAAAATATCTGAATATATATATATATATATTTTATTTTAAATAAAAAAATCAAAATTTTAAAAAATATTATTTACATTTCGTTATCAAACACTCTTTCTTTTTTATTCGAAGCTTGAGCTTGAGGTTTGCTGAGCTAACCATCAACTCTCAGAGCTGAAGCTGTAAGTTACCGTCCCAACTCAAAACAGACCTTGCCCACTAAACAACGCATGACAGGTCGGGAAAAGGCCAAATCATTCATGTTATCGAGACCCTTCTTCCAATGGACCACAAGTTCATAATCCCTACTCCTGTATCGAGTTTTCATTTCCTTCGGAAATTTTTTTCCCAAGGCGTAGTCATAAACCGGCAATCCTAGAGCGTTTGGAGCAATAATTAGTTGTTGGTAGCGACTAGCGACCCCATGAAACACTCCAAAATCCATAGAAATCAAGCATAAAGCCAAATTCAAGAAATCCCACGAAGAAAAACTCGGTGCACAAAAAATACATTCTAGTCACAGATACACTGCTGATAGATATACTTGTACATGGATTTATGAAGTAAATTAGAACAAGGAATGAAAATATCCCTATTTGCAAGAGATGGCGTCTTGCTGTCTTTTGGGATTGTTCACAACACAGGCATTTATATCTCCTCGTTTTCCTACCTAAATTTCATGGCCTTTTTCTTTCTGTTGGAACTGTCTGGGGTCCGGCTATCTAGCTTGCGTTTTTGCCTGGCTGGTTCAAAAGCACCACCATCCTTGAGTGCTGTAGCTCTTGCCTTTCTTTTAGCAACAGCGGGTCTTTTCCCCTGATGCTTTTCTTCTCGTGGCTTAGATTTCATCTTAACTGCTACATCTCGCTTTGAATGTGCAGGAGCATGGACTTTCTTCTCCACACCAGATTTGCTAGCACGCAAGCCCTGGTAGGATTTGGCAGCCTTCCTATCTGGCCTGTTGTTATAGTAAGGAGCCCTTGAATCTGGTGCCAACCTCTTCTTTGGTGAATTAGCTGTCTCTTCAGCAAATGAGTTCTTTCTCTTGGAGGGGGTAGAATCCTGTCTGGCATGAGATAGTCTCAGCTCTCTATCACGAAGCTTCAAATTCCGTTTCTTTATCACCAAATTCGCAGCTTCCTGCATGCCATCACTCAGAACTCGTTAACCTTACAGGACAGACCCTGGATTTATTGAATACATTGTGCATACTAATGAAAGCATTAATATAAAATTTAAGCTACTCTTGAGTAAGAACTTTCAGAAACCCAATTTTAAACAAGACAGTCCTAAACTAAAAGAGAATCCAAACACACCGACACAAAACAATCAACTAATACATACACAACTAAACTTCATCCTTTCATTTCCTAGCATATCATCATAAAACAGCTATATGAAAATCCAGCCCTGACAATTCTCTTTGCCCAGTCTAACATTCCATCCACAAATGTATAGCCAAAGCAAGAAAATTTCAAGAACTACAGGCCAAAGCTTCAATCTCTTACAAAGTTACAAGTGATGCTTGACAGCTCCAATGATACATATCTGGACTAGAATAAAAATAATCTACCAAAAAAATAATCACAGCCATTCCCTAAGTAAATCATAGTTTGCCACTCCTTAAATCTGGAAAGAAAATACAAAATAACAAGACCACATTTTCACACTCATGAAATATGCTCTTTTCTTTTTAAATTGGACTATTTCTTAATAGCTTGTTATATGATCTAAGCATGTAACAGTCCAACTTGATATAACTTGAAATCTTAATTAACATCCAACTTAAAATATTGACTACAGAGTGTTACAAGAACCTTAAATTTCTAAATTTTGGGTACAAATGGCAGCTCATCATAACATCAGCTTCAATGGTTATGTCACATCAGATAAAAATAGAGTTAGGAATGTGCCAACAGAGGAAAGCATGTTATTATAAATTTCAATGATAAAATTATTGAAAAAACTGAGCATTAAATAGCAATGCATCATACCCTTGTTTTAAACAGCACATAGGCGATGCCCTTTCCCAGACCTATATGAGGATCTCTAATTACTCGAACAGCTTCAATACTGGATGCAAGATCTTTAATACCAGTGAAAAGCTGATAAAGTTCTTCATCCTGCAGTGAGAATAAAGAGACATATCCAGACAAGATTAACAAAATTAGGCAGCAACAAATGCATACAGGGAGTAAATGCACATCAAGAAATCACATCATAGCTGATCACCTTCACATCAAAGGGGAGGTTACCAACAAAAACTGTCCTCTTGTTATCATAAAGGGGAGCATCTGACCCCTTTAACTTTTTGCGAGGTGGGCATGCCCTATCTACACGAATGTGATTGCTTCCAACCTATTTCAAAAAGAATAAAACAATCTTTTTTTACTTGAAACCATGTTGATTAGCCAACTTTTGGAAATGAAACATACCACAGCCATATTATGGGAGAGAGATGCCTCTGCCGATTGCTCATTCTTGAAAACAACATATGCATGAACACTGCAACACATGGTATTCTTCATAAGAAAGTGACATTGCTATGAAAATAAATAGAAATTGATATAAGGGATCGACCAAAATCACAACACGAAGTTTAATTAAACAGAAGGTCCTTATAGGCAAGAGAAGATCCCAGAAGTGGACTACCCTATAGTAAGTAAACATACATAATTAAATTAATTAGGTTTGTTTGTTAGTGATGCAACTCAAAGTTGAGATATGGCAATTAATCACAAAGCATGCACTGGAAATGGATCATCGTTTAGTTCCAGCTCTAGTAACTCAAGATCAACATTTTCACTGGTTGCTCTTCAGTTAATTACCAAGGCATGTTTTTTTTTCTCCTCAGAGTGATCATTCACATCAAGTTTCCCTTCATGCATTTAATCAATCGAAGAAGCATGTGCATGTACCATTTTGCTTACGGACATCTAATTAATTCTTTTCCAGATTATGATAACAAAAAAGCTAGAGATCATAGATTTTTTAAGGATTGTGAAACAAACCTCGAAAAACTGGAACAAGAACTTGCTAAATTTTTTATATCAGATGAACAAAGGAAGCAGATATGGTAACATTGATCAGGTGAAATTATAGAATTACGGTATGAGAATGGACATCAAAACTAACTGTCAGAATATAATTATGTCCTGAAACAACACGGAAACAAATCCATAATCTAAAGATACCTTAATTGATTTCACATGAAAAAAAAAGAGCAAATTACATCTCAAACATCTGTAAAAAACAACAGCATACCTGTCAACATTATCATTAAATTTCTTCAACAAAATAGCTCCCTTCCTCGGTATCTTGGACTGCCCAAAATGAAAACCAACAAAGCAAACCATCAAAATCAAAACAAATCAACAACAAAAAACCACAATCATCATAATCAAAGTACACCTACTTCGGCAATTGGCACGGACCGGATCCTCACAGACTCAACGTCCCCAAACTTACTAAATTCCTTAATAAGTGTCTTCTTCTTCACCTTCAAAGGCAAATTCCCAACAAACACAGTCCTCAACAACTTGCTCTCATCATCAAACCCTTCACTCTCCTTTGAAACCAGCACATCCGCAGCATCATCAGTGTTTTTCCTCTTAGCCCCAACAACAACACTCGCATTTTCCTCATTATCTACCACTGGACCATACTTTTTAGCCTCATATTCTCTCTCAAGATCGTCTCTTTTTCTCTTCTTTCTCTTCCTTAACGTTTCCTCTTCTTTTGGCTCAAAACCCGAAATGGGATTTTCAGCTTTCACCTTTTTTAGTTTCTCTGTAGTTTCATAGAAGTTGGGTTTTTGGGTGTCGACATCGGTGCTAGGGTTTTCGTTGGATTTTGGGTCTTCGGGTTTTCTTTTGAAAGGGTTGCTATCAGAGAAAAGGGAGGAGGTAGAGGCGGTTTGATCGGCGCTGCTAAATAGGGTTTTGAAGATATCGGAAAGAGCAGAAGCTGTGTGGTTCTGGGCTGTGGAGGTGTCTGGTTCCTTGTGTTTCTTTTTGCCCATTGTTTTTCGAATGGAGAAAGAGGGAGGCGGTCAGGCGGACGTGAGATTCAATTTTAAGTGATGTTATAAACCTATAGCGTGGGGAAGGTTTTGCAGGCCTCCAAAGTCCAAACTCTTTTTATAAACCTAAAGCCCATTGTTATTTTGAATATTTTTTAAATAAGCACAATTATGATTATTTATTTTCTTGGTTATTCGAAGTTGTCGATTTTAGTTTTGAGGTTGATTTAACTGTTTTCGTGCAAAATGTAATTTTAATAATTTACATTTTGCACACAGTTTTTAAAATTAACTCATTTGCTCCAATTTGCTCCACATATCTTTTGAAAGTTGTTATTTTATACCATTTCAAGGATCACTTGCACATAAGCATAATAATGAGATTTTTTTTAATATATTCACATTGGTCTTGGCATATTCACAATCATTATTTATATTTTACTCATATTAAATCAATTTAAGTTACGTGATGAACTCTTTTCACTCATTGGATATCCAACTTGATCTATCTATAAGTTTTTTTTTAATTTTTAAGAAATTGTATTTAAATTTCATGAAACATTTACAAAATCTCATTCTACAAAATTACTGTAAAGAGTCTCACATATAATCTTAATTTCTTCTATTAATGCAATATATACTTTAAAAATATGGAATTATATTATTACATATCACTAGCTATTCGAATTGATTGTTAAATTGTTGATGGTTTGTATAACTATGTGTATAGATCATTCAAGATCCTTTTTATATTTAGAAATAATACACAGTATTGAATTATGTGCTTATTATCTCTTAAATTATGTATAGACGTATTCTTTCTGCGACCGGTAAATACACCTACTGATTTTCCTGCTGGCATTGGCTCCAGCAACCAAGCAATTATCCTCCTAGCCTTCGTGTTCTGATTCAAGCTGATGCCATGCATGTAACCCTCTGGCGTCCCTAGCTAGTTTCCGTTTTCCTTCATTTCTCTAAAGATAAATTGTTACAAGAGTTTGATTATTGCCTGCTAAACGTCTCCCCTTTTGCTGTTCAAATTTGTACTTAGTTAGAGCTCTAAGTTTTCATCATGATCTGGTCGTTGAAATTCCTGGCTCAAACTCTTGCTGGCTTCCCTATGTGGTGTCGATATTCTTAGTCTTATGACCCTTCGCTTATATTTTGCTCTCATCTCCTTCTTTTTTCCTTGCGGGTTTGTTTCACCCCAACAGTATTCCGATGCTGTTTCACGATACCGACTCAATGTATCGTCTCAAGTCTCCACAAAAAAAATACGCAATGTCAAATCCAGATAGAACCATTTTGGCCTTTAACGGAAATGATCTACACTTGGCTTTCACAGTTTAAACCCAGATAGAACCATTTGCTAGTGACAAATCTCAGTGGATAAGCATGCAGATGCCGGCCTCCAACAATCACAGTGGGTGAACATGCCATATCGAACCATTACACAGCATAGAGCCCTTCCTTGCCTGCCACTTGCACCAATTACTAAACCTTTGGCCACCAATTACCAAATGTATTGTTCTGCTCACTATTCAATTACATAACCATAAACCCTTCTTTCTAGTTGACTAAAAATTCTCACGACTAGTATATATTTAGTATCAGGCTCCATAATCTGGCATCAACAGCAGTAAGAGAGGGAGCTAGCTTAAGGTAAGTTCTTCCTTGTCCAAACTAGTCCTCTATTCAGCTTGGAGTTGATTTTTCATTTCTATGCTTTTTTCCTTTTTCTAAACCATACTATAAATGATTATATATATCTCAACTGTTCGTTTTATTCTTGGAATGTTACGTGCAGTTATGGAAGAAAAGGTAGCAGCTGAACAAGTTCATAAACAAGAACAGATTAATGAAGAGGAGTCCGATGCTGTACAAAACTATGTAAGAGAAGTGGAGAACAGAGAAGAAAAAGCTGATGGTATTGAAGTTGAAAAGCCACAAATACCAAAGGAAATAGAGGAGGAAAAAAATGAAAGCAAAGCAGAAACAGCTATTGATGATAACAAGCAATCACAGGCAAAAAAAGTGGGAGGAAACCAGGCAGATATAACAAAGAAACCAAAACAGGCACCAAAGCAAATTCCCAAGATGAAAATCACAGTTCCTCAACCATTTTCCTTGGCCACTGACAAAAGAATGTCTAGAGAAAGACGAGCTTCGGTGGATTTTAAAGATCAGCAACTTCCTAAACTATCCAAATCTGCTAGTGTCAACTACAAGTAAGTTTATCAGAATTTCGAAGTTTCAACTTATTCTCTATTTCAGAGTTCTGAAGCACATCGGTCAACTTATAGCCAGGGGCATTTAAACAAACTGAGAACAGAATAACATTACGCTGAGTTAACACCTTGAAATACTTGAGTATTTACGGTTTCAATGATTCATGATTCAGGGTGCAGTCCTCGCCTAGTGCTAAAGATCTGGTGGCCTCTGAGCTGAAGCGTAGTGCTACTACTGCATCAAATTCCAGGCCGAGAGTTACATCTACCAAAACTGATGATAAGAAAGTTGAGGTGAGTTCCAATTTGATTAACGACAAAAAAAATAGCGAGTATTATGAGAAATATCTTCTCAAGCTTTCCCCTTACTGAGTATAAAGACAACCTAGTTTTCTGAAAGACTCAGGGGGGAGTCAGGCAGGCAAGCTTTATTTAACTAACACTCCTTACCTTGAAGATAATGATTCGTTTATTGTTCATTGAAAACAATATTCATGACGCTATGTATATGGCTTTCAAATAACAGAACGGTGTAAAAACTAAAGAAAAAATTCAGGTGAAGGACATCCAAAACAAATCTTCACTATCCATTCCCAAGGTATATTAATTATTATATTCGTTCTCTTCATTCTCAGACACCTCTAAAGCCTGTCCTCTTAAATTTCAGCAGACGTTAGGTACTTCCTCCCATTGATTGAATTTATATATACAAGAATTTCCCGTCACCTAAAAATTCATACACATTAATGATTACAGAAGAACCAAGCAGAGGAATCGGAGACTAATAAACTTCGGAAGAACTCAACATTCAAAACATTGCCATTGCCAAGCTTCATTCGTCGGAAAGAATCGACCTCAAAACCTGACATAAAGAAGGTAAGCAGTCTAAATTTCTTCTAGGTCCAAGAAAAGGGGAAAAAGAGAGAAGTTCATAGATTTTCTAAGCCAGAAAGGCCTTCCCAATAAAAGTTTCAGAATCTATCTCCTTTTTGTTACTTGCTTGTAGTTTGGTTGTTATTTCTAGGGGTTTCCAATAATAAATCGTTCTAAACTAGACAAGAAAGAAGAATCAAACTGCATTGCATCGAATATATATCAGGGTGTTCATGGCCATTATAGTCTATAGAGACTACGTAATCTTATGACTACTGATGTTTTGTGACTTGCAGGTTCCTACAACTGGTCCAAGGTCTGCTCTGCCTGGCCGCCAAGGACACAAGTCTATCAGCGATGCTGAGAAGAACAAAACCAAAAACATAGGCAAGAACACCGTTTCAAGAACAATAAGCAGCAGTGCGAAGGAGACTATAAGCAAACTAATCAAAGGGACTCGGAAGGCTTTGAATCCTTCAAAAGAGACTGTTAAATCTGTTGTTTCAATTGCCTGATTGACGATGCAGACCAGGACTTCGTGATGACACGGCAATTAATAGCGTGTTCTTGTTCAATTGTTAAGAGTTATTTTCTGCAGTGGAATTTGAGATGCCACAACATGTGGCAGAGATAGAATACACATCAATTTAGGATTTATCCTCCCTCCCTTGTATGCAATGAATCCATGTGGTAAGTATTATGTAATGTTAATTAGCCATGATCTTGAGATATGGCAAACCCAGATTAGCAAAGAAGCTCTCTTTTCACTTCCAGAGATGGAACTTACAGTTTGAGTTTTTTTTTGTTTTTAGGTAAAAAAAAAAAAAATGATTAGAGCGTTGAAGATGACTATGCAATTTGAAAGTGTTATATGCAAATTTTTTAAAATTATAAAATTATTGTAAACAAAATTTAATAAAATAAAATAAAAGATAGAAAAAATACATTGAAACTTTAATGATAATTTAATAAAATAAAATAAAATAAAATAGAAAAAATACATTGAAATTTTAATGGTGATATTATTGATACTGTTAAAAGGATCTCAATAAAATAAATTTAACTTCATAAAAAAAAATCATTGATGATGGCCAGAATGAATAACATAAACGTCCTGAAATCAAATAAATTTTGGTATCTTTGGACGATTTGCATGTTCTATTTTTATTATTGTTGGTGGTTTGTTTTGTATTATTAGATTTATATTATCAAGATTTTTTCAATGATATCAATTATTTAAAAGGATCTCAATAAAATAAATTTAATTTTATCAAAAAACAATCATTGATGATGACCAGAATGAATCATATAAACATCTTAAAATCAAATAAATTTTAGTATCTTTGGACGACTTGCATGTTCTATTTTTATTATTGTTGGTAGTTTTTTTTGTATTGTTAAATTTATATTAACAAGATTTTTTCAATGATATCAATTGTGTTATTATCAAATTATTTTTGTGACTTTAAATTTTTTTAATCTTTTTATTAAATATTATATCCAATAATTTGTAACTTAAGAAAAAGTTATAAATTACACTTCCGGGTGAATAGTAAATGTGTAATTTTTTAAATTTTATTATCTATTTAAATATTTTTTGCGCCTTATTATTTTATTAATTTTCTTTTACTAAGCTTAGAGTTAAAAAAATAAATGAATGAAAACTCCTTTCAGCTTCCTTAGCGGGAAAAAAGGGTGCCGACCAATTACTTATAGTTTAAACAATCACCAAGCCAAAAGATTACCACTCAACTTCGAAAAAACCAGCAGCTGCATTGTTTTAAAATACATGCGTAGCCATTACTATTAGTCGCGCAACCCATTGCTCTCTGTGAACTAAAACGGAGGAGCTCAAGCATCTAATTTAGGAAGTCACAAAATACCCACCAAGATGAAGTTGGTGTTTGATAAAGTTAATATTTGATATTAAGATTGCAATTCAATAAGTTTTTTTATTTAAAAATATATTCAAATTCATTTTATACATCAGTATGCTATAACAATTAAAAAAATTTAGAAAATTAATTTTAAAAAATAAGAAAATTCAGAAACAAAAATTGATATTCACATTTGACAATAGACTTGGGAGAAGATATTTTAGATTTGGACAGATTACACTATACAAACAGCATGCAGGGGAAAGACGACAAGTAGAAACCCCACATTCTCTCCCTCTCGGCTTCCGGATTCAAGCAAGAAGCTTTACTCTAAGGTTACAAGAATAGAGTAATATAACCCTCCTTTTCTTATTCTTCTTGTTAATTATTGAAGTTCGTTAGTTATATAATTCCTCTTTAAATATGTAAAATCAAGGGGCTGTCCCTCTGCTAAAATGCAGCAACCATGGCCGCTGCTGATGACACTTCATCAATCTTGTCCTCCTCCTCCTCCTCCTCCTCCTCCTCTTCATCTTCTTCCTCTGCCTCCCACATAAAACTTGCATATGATCCCAATACCATACTATACATGGCAAAAACAAAGGAGTAAATAAGTCACGTATTCCCATTAATAGTTATTTAAGAGATTAGGAGGGTGTGGTGTGAAAATTACCAATCATTAGGAGAGGCGAAAACAGCTTGATCAAAGTAAGATTTAGCTCGCTCCCCATCCCTTTTTGCATCCCAAATTAATTTCCCATACAAAGACAAGACCTCTCCATCTCCTGGACTCGCCAGGATTGCTCTCCCGTAGTACTCCTCTGCTTTCTCCGCGTCTCCCTCCACCTTTGACCGAAACAAAAAAAAAAAAAAAAAGATAATAAACAACTACTCGATCCAGCTACTTTGTGTCAACTAAATGAATACAAAATAATATTTTTAATATCAAATATATTTTTGCAACACACCCAAATAAAAACCACCTCTTAATCATTTCATTAATTAATTAAACATTTCCTCATTTTTTTTTTTTACCTCGTGTAAGTATTTTCCGTAGTTTCTTAGAATCAAAGCATCGTTGGGGTTTGACTTCAACATTTGCTTATAATAATCACCCATCTTGCTAACATCATCACCGCCGCTTCCCCCATGTCCGCCGTTTCCCCCATGTCCGCCGGAGGATTTACCGAATCCGTCTCCGGAAAAACCTAACTCCTCCAATGGAATCCCGCTCTTCGGCCAGATTCCAGCGTAATCATCCACACCGTCCCCAAACACATGGTCCTCGACCTCTGGTATCATCGACGGAAAAGACCGTGAACCAGCACCGGAAGGCTTCTTCAGCCCTCTGGAAGCCTCCCTCTCCGATCTGATGACATTACTCTCCGATAACGCCCTCCGAATCGGAGGTCCTGCCTGGTGATGGTTGATATCCAAATGCAGCGCGTCTCTCGGAGAACTAACACCGGAGAAGATGTTAGTCGGTGAATCGTAACGTGTTAGAGAGATTTTAGGTGAGTTTGGCCGAACCGTTGATTGGATCGGAAATGAACCGGTTCTCATTGGAACAGATTTCATGGCTTGGTTGATTGATTAGGGTGAGAACTTGATGAAATAGTTTTGGAAGAACTGGACTTGAAGCTTCCGTTCCGAGCTTTTGAGTTGTATACTTATAGGGGTTTATGGACCGTTGGATCTGTCGACTACGTTGACTTGAGAGAGAAGGAGATGCTGACACGTTTATGTCTGCACGTGAGGGGGGCTAAGGAGAAGGCACGAGCGTGGGAGTGGGGGATCGAGGGACTTTTTTGTTGAGTTGTGTAGTGCACGCGTCACGGGAAGTGCGTGATGGGATGATGTGGCAGGGCCGCGTGGAAAGGTCAGTATAAGTGGGTCCTACGTTATGGTACGGATTTGGAGTACCGCAGTGAGGTGCAATGCATGGGCTTGAAAACAGCCTTCTTCTTGTTTTTTATGCCTAGGCCCTCGCAGGCAAATGTTGTCCTGTCTTTTTACTCATGTTCCACTTTAGTCTTTAAGTTGCCAAAATATATCATGTTACTATTTATGTAGTGTTTTGTATTTTAGTACAAAATATATTAAAAATATTTTAATATTGATGTTTTTTAATGTATTTTTATTTAAAATATATTAAAATAATATTTTTAAATTTTTATTTTTGATACAAAATCATAAAAATATTTATAAATTTTCAAAAATATTTTTTGAACATAAAAATAAATACGCTCTTAATATATAATTGCCACTTGAATTAAATATATAATTGCCACTTGAATTATGAAGGTTTAATTAGTTTTAATGTATAAATTATAAATGATATGAAAACATTATTTATATCTAAAAACATCTTTACCTAATATCATTTAATGTCTCCCCTCTAACCTTTTGTTTTTCTCGTTTCATTTACTATAATCACAACCAAGTTATTTTTACTTAAAATTCTGATTAAATGATAATTACGTTTAATTTTCATAATTGTTTCATATTTTAATTCAAGAAATTATATACATTAAAAAATATTATTGAGTGCACATAGTTATAAAAGATAAAATTAATTTCAATCATTGTCCAGGAAAAACGAATTGGTTAACAATGCCAGGTGTTTCTCTTCTATTGATTTTCATTAGTTCGGTCTTCAATGCTACTAATATAATTATACTATACTTTAAAATGCATTGAAAAAATAATATACAAATATTATAGATATAAATTTATTCCATTATAGATTACACTATATATAAAATGATTACTTTATATGTGATACTGTAACATCATAAAAGTGTTGTTTTTATTGCTTTTTACACTAAAAATTATTAAATCTTGCATAATTGTCTAATTCAATATTATTATATCTGACTTGACCATTAATCAAAGATTTTAAGTTTATAATTACAACTAGATTCAAAACTCTTAGATTTGACTAAGCAATAAGATTTAAAGGTACAAAATCTAACTTTGTTGTTACCCAAATTTTTAAATTTAAAATTATTGTTAGATTCAAAATAATTAGATCTAACTTGGTCTTCAAATCCAAAATTTTGAGTTTGAAATTATTATCAAACTAAAGATTTTAGATTTAAAACTATATCAACCTAAAACTATTAAAACTCAAGATATTTAAAATATTTTTTATATATTTCTTTTAATTAATGGAGTCATTTTATTATATTTTTTATTATCATTCGAGTTTCTTAAACTATAAAATTGGTAAAAGAGATATGTTGTCACAATGTAAAAGTGTCATGTATCCAGTATGGATGGGAATAACAAGTTCATGTATTAAATGTTTTTTTTTTGTGTGTTAAATTCAAATATTTAATAAAATGAAAAGGGTTAAAAAATACATGAAACCCCATTTTAACCCTAGTTGAAGAAACAAAGAAACAAGAAACATATTTGAAATTATATATAGATTCACTAGACTACAATAAAGAAAAAACTACATAGAGTTTGAGAAAGAACACCATGAAGAAACTATTGTATTATTTATTTCTATAAGATGCATATTTATAGCCAATTAGGCACACTCAATAAATATGGTCAACAAATGAACCAAATAATGCATGAACTAGATAGTAAATATAGAGCGATAAACATAAATGGAATTAAGGACATTGAAGAACTAAAACATCACATGTCTCAACACTCTCCGCTGATGCTAGCTAGCGTTATGTGCCAATCCAAATTGAGCTTCAAGAACTTCATACTTAAACCAAATAATGCACGAAATAGATTATAAACATGAATATAACTAAGTATATTCATAAATAGAAACAACATCATCTTTTCAACATCAATAAATCTAGTGAGTGGTGGAGCCACAATAGATTAAGGGAACAATTGCTCCTTTTATTTTTTAAAATATTTTTTATATTTAAATTTTAATATAATAATTTAGCAAGTTTTTCTTCTTCTGTTTTGAATTATTGTTCCTACCTCTCTTTCTTCAATAATTTTTTTTTTTTAAGTTCTAAACTATTAAGTAGATAAGTAAATAACCTTTTATGCTTTATATTTAATGTTTTAGGTGAGTTTTCTTTATTTTTTTCTATTTATTTTATCATTTAATTTTAGTTTTATTCCTTAATAATCTAATAATTTATAGATTTTTTTAAATTATTGTGGATGTATAATATTATATGTATATGGATATGAATTAAAATGAGTTTTGATGAATTAATATGTATTTTTTTATGAATTTCATATGAAATATAGTAGTGATCAATATACTAATAATTAAAAATAAAATACTAAACAACTAAAAAAATTAGGGATAAAATAAAATAATTAAAAAAATATATTAATATTTATATTTAACTCACTTATATAAAACAACAAATTAATAAAGAATTGTTGCCAATAATTTTACTAGTCCCTAGAAGATTTAGAAATAGATAAATGAAAGTTTCATTATATATATCGACAAAGAATATCTTTAATTAAATTAATAATAAAGTCATTATTAAGTAATTTTAAAATATAAAAACTCAAAGAAATATTTATAATATAAGTTTTTTTATTTTAAAAATATTTTTAAATTAATTTTGTTTCACATGAGTTAGCATATGAATTTTAAATTGATTTCTCTATATATAACACATATCTATATAATATATAGTATTAAATATTTATAAATTATTTTTTTATTTTTATTTTTTTTTACTCCATCACTAAATTTAGTTGTTTTCTAGTTTTATAAAGTCGAGGGGTTAGAATGTTAGTGTAATATATGATAGATGGACGTCACTCATCATAAATAAAAAAATATATAGAAAGAGGGCATCAAGTATGGGCTCGGCCAATTATTATTATACAAAGACTTTGGTGACAAGGAAAGCCAAGAAACTAGTTCCAAAACCACAGCTGGATTACTCTGTGCTGCGAGGAGATAAGAATTGGGCAAATGGTATTCGTCTGTCTCCATGTTCCCGAGCTGTTTTTTATTTTTGAGTGGATGTCGTCATTAAAGAAGATTCCATACATATCTCTGTCTTTGTCATGTAAATAATGATTTAGGAATCACTTTTTTTTATTTTATGTGGGGTGCTCGGGTTAGCTTACGTGTACCACGATTAATCTACACGGTCCACTGAACATCCTGCAAGCCCAATAAACAGGTAAAGCACCGTGGAGATAACAGGCGTGCATGATAAAATTCGAACCCAATTACGAAGAAAAAGAACAAGCCCCTCCCACTGCTAGGCCAAAACCTCACTTGCGGGAATCACTTTCTTTATGTAGCTGTAGCAGTTAAAATCCTAGTGGAAGCCTCCGCCTCGTATACTGGCTGGTTCATCTCCTCCTTCCCTTCTAGTTGCTCCTCCTTGGCCCCCTGTTTCTATTCTTTCCCAGCTCTCAAGCACTGTATTTGGACTGCAAATTACAATGGGGACAAGGACCTACTTGCCCTCATGTGATCCCACGTGAAAGCACTTCAATGAGCACCACATTTGGAGAGAGTTGCCTTTAAACAAACTCAAATCTCAATTCGGTTTTATGATTAAAAAAAAAAAAAGAAGAAGGAGATTTGATTGAATTTAAAACAATTTCTTGGGACTAGAAGACAGATCTTACTTGTCATGAGATGCAAAAAAAATAAATAAAAGAGAAATCCTATTGATATTGACTTGCAATTTGAAGTAAGGAAAAGCAAATCTCATCTTCCTTGGCCGAGTTGGTTTATCTTCTCAAGTTGAAAATCACCAACGAAAACTCTCATTGGCCAAGGAAATGTCCGCCATTCTTGTCTCTGTCCTCAACTCGGAAAAAGGAGAATATAAAAGATGAGTTGATGAAAATGAAATAAAAGGATGGCCAGAAGTGATAGCATAGTCTTTCATTGTTTTTTTAATGTTATAAAAATATTTTTAAAAAATTAATTTTTTTACTATTTTTAGATATTTTAACCTGTTAATATTAAAAAATAATTTTATAAATTTTTAAATAAAAAATATTTTTAAAAAATTAATTTTTTTACTATTTTTAGATATCTTAACCTGTTAATATTAAAAAATAATTTTATAAATTTTTAAATAAAAAATATTTTTAAAAATAATCCTTCCATTCTCGAACACCTTTTTATTTTCCCAGCCTAACCTTGCTTCTAATGATCCAGGCACATTGACCCACCTGCACCCAGGAGACCGACCCTTTTTGACCTTTATGATTTTTCTATATATTTTCCTTCAACTTTAAACGAATTCTGTCGACTCCATAGAGGGTTAACATAGTGGGTCTTTTGTGCGAGCTTGAAGCAATACATGAAGAGTGCTCAATAATTTATATAAAAAACCAAGATTGAAACGACGGATGGGATTAGAATTAGAGCTTCTTTCTTGTGAAAAAAAAGAGACAGATAATGCACGGGCATCCTATTCGGGACGCTAAAAAAGAATGCACCAAATAAATTATATTTGCTTCAGTTCTCATGCTTGGTTTAAGCCGAGAATCTCAAATCCTCAAGTTTAGAAGTTGAGTTCATGAAAGCTATAAAATCCACCATTGATATTTGATAGTACTGGCATCAACACCTTGCTATCAAGCGAGACCTTAGGAATAGCTGCACCAGTGCTGACTTATTTCAATTTAGAAAAGAGGAGACCGACCCTCTTCTTATCGACTTCTGTATTTACCATTCACTAATGTGTGAGTTTCACGTGCAATAATAAGAAAGTAGTGTGAGCTTATACCATTGTGTTTTGTTCCAGGATGCATCTCCAGCAAAAGATGTGAGGGGTAAAAGGTTTCATCAAGCTTATGAATGAAGGAGCTTAACTTAGCCGCATACTGTTTTTATTTCTTTTCAGGGAAATGCTAAACTACGATCCATGTTGGCAGCTACACGAATTAGACGTGACACAAACGACACATTATCCTATTTCTCATCGAGAAAGAGGTACATTGACATATTAACAGTTCAATGCGATGGAGTCCTGTAATGAGAAATTTGAAAATATTTCCTGGGTAATTAATTAACAAGCTCATAGCACACTCAGCAAGAAAAAACATGCACGAGCTTTCCTTGTAGATTCATTTAAAATGGAAAAAACATTACTTGTAATACTCGTATAAAAAAGATTCAGGGAGCAACAAAACACAAATGTGACCATCCAGGGGATGGAGCGATGCTCTTTATTCTAGACACTGCCTGCTCATGGCCTTAGGGTATCAATACAACTGACCCGGTTGTTTTTCGACTCTCAATGTCTGCATGTGCCTGTGCTGCCTGAGATAAAGGGTACGTGTGATTTACACGGACCCTTAGAACACCCGATGCCAGGACAGAAAATAACTCTCCAGCAGCTCCTAGCAGCTCATCGCGTGTTTGATTGTAATGCATCATTGAAGGCCTCGTCAAGAACAGTGATTTTGGTGCAAGTGCAGACAGAGGAACTGGATCTGGCGTACCTGATGACTGCCCAAAACTCACCATGTAACCACGAGTCTTTAAGCATGCCAATGATCCCTGAATATGACCACTTTCTCATAAGAAACTTTTAAAAAACCAATAGCCAAATTGCAGGTTGTCTATTCATGAATTAAGCTTGCAGACCAGACTTTTTGAAATATTGCTGAATCAAAAACCCAGTTCTGGGAGGTCAAAACTAGAAATGGAAAATACTCATTCGAACTTTGGTGACATTCCTAATCAAAAAAGAAGTGCAGTCCTTCAGGTTGATATTTGTTCTCTTTAACTTTTTATTTTTCCAGCACTAGTAGAATTTTTAACAAAGTGAGGGTTTGAATCTAATACAAGATTCCTCCTGCTAAAGGAGTGCTCCCATCAACTCTTGCAAGGGCTTCTGCTGACACTCAAAACCCTGTATTAGCACAAACTCATAAAAATTGAACCTCGCTAACTATGTCCAATTGACGCTTGAATGTAGAGAGTTAAAATCAAATTACTGCCTTCACATAAAACCCTAGCAGAGTAGTCATTACCTGAAAGGTATCCTTTCCCACAGAATCATAGACCACGTCAACCCCGTTGCATGATGTTATCTCATTTACACGAGCAACAAAATCCTCTTCTTGATAAAGTATAACATGCTGACAACCATCTTCCTTGGCTTGTGCAGCCTTCTCCTTGGTCGAGACAGTTCCAATAACAGTGGCACCAAGGGCATTTGCCCATTGACATAATAGAGACCCAACACCACCAGCCGCTGCATGAACAAGGATTGTGTGCCCAGATTCAACCTGTATCACAGATACCATTGAATATTATGCATCTCTGAAAGCTTAGAAGAAATGAGCTGATCCACAAAATTCAGAACAGAATACATCTTCACAAAGTGGCAAAGTGGCAAAGTGGCAAGTTGAAATAGTTCTATGCAACCAAAACTAAAAAGTAGCTTGGAAAAAAAAAGTGGGGAGGGGGGGCACAAGGGAGAGATTTATGGAATAAGTTCATTAAACATAGATTGGTATTGTTCATGTGTCAAAAAGATTGTTAAGTACATAGGCTAGCAAGGCATATAACTCATGTTGAAGCAACAGCATAGTAGAAAATGAGCGGTCATGCCCTTGAGCATGACGGATGCTGCAATAAAAAGACTAACGGATGGGGGAACAGAGAGATTTATGGAATTAATTGTTTAACTATGCATTCACACATTTCACTCATTTAGAGAACAAGGTGGATAGAAGTGTAATTTAGGAGATTGTTGAAATCCAAATGCCACCAGGTATATAACTCACCTTGAAGCAACGGCGTAGTAGAAACTGAGTGGTCATGCCCTTAAGCATGACAGATGCTGCAACAACAGGACTAATGGATTCAGGAACAGACACAACTTTGTTTGCAGGAAGGATCTGTTCTTCTGCATATGAGCCCATAGGATCGCCAGCATAAGCTACAATATCTCCAACTTTCCTACCAGTAAGTCCAGGGCCAACAGCAAGCACCTCTCCAACAGCCTCCCTACCTGGAATAAAGAACAAATTTTAACACTCTCATGAGCAAGGATCTTTCAATGGTCTCACATTCCAACACTGACTGGTAAACAGAAAAAAATAGACAAGGTGCTTCTACACTAACAGATAAAAATATTTGTACATCTTAATGAGAAAAGGAGCACAATTCTACCAGAAACTCATAAAAAATAGTGAACTAATAAAATATATATTCTATTCTTCTAAATTTTGAATGTTGCTGTCTCACCTAATTATGATGGATGCACTCTTCTCTTCTTAAAACCCACTAAAGTTATCCTACTTTTTCATCTCATGTGTGAATTGAACATCAAGAGATAGAGCAAGAGGGAGAGTATTCTCAAGATTTGTAGTTCAAAAGTCAGTAACAACTAAAAAGACGAAAGTTCCAGTTATTAATCTTTTAGACAAGTTGGTTTTCGTTTTTCCACGATAGCAACCAAAGATGATTCATATGATGCTTTATTTCCAACTAATATCAGGCTCCGCAATCATGTGAAGGGAAGAACATGCTGGTTCAGAATGTGTTCTCATCACAGTTTCAAATCCCGAGCAGTTTAACATCAGTTTCAGAGTGATTTTCCATGGTCTAAAAAGTCACATGACTTCGGGTTGGTCACCGATCTCACTAGCAGATCTAAAGCTATGCCCAGGATGACAACGCTTCACTTCTCTGGGCATAGCTGATGGCTTTGATGGTTAATTTCTACAAAAGGAAAAAATGTTGGAGTTGGAGTTGGACTTTTGCCTTTCTAAGGTAATTATTTGCTATGAAACAAAATTAGACCATAAAAACCTTCATTAGAGGAGAACAGGTTCATCTTATTATGTAATAGAGGATGAAAGAGGACATTTTGGCAAAAAATAGCCAACAGTATCCACACACGCATGCCTTGACTAACATTTTAAAGTAAACTTAACTCAAGAAATACATGAATAACAACATATCAGAATGGGCAAACAACTCAGTAATTGCACATGGTTTGCGTGTAGAATCCACCTTGCAAGAAACATGATCAGTATTATAGTTGGACCAAGTGAGATAGGGCGAAAGTTGAAACATAACCTGGGATGAAGGGCATCGTTGAAGCCGCATAAACTCCTTTCCGGAAGTACACATCGATAAAGTTAAGCCCAATTGCCTTGTTCTTAACACGTATCTCACCCTCACCTGGCTCTCCTATCTCAACATCCTCCCATTTCAGGACCTGTCATAGTTAATACGCAAGCATTTAGTAAGTCTGAAATGAATAAGATAAACAGAGACAGAACAGCGAAGTCTCTCAAAAACAAGATTCCAAAATAAAAGGAATTTATATTTACAAGAACACTCTAATCATAAATAGGTGAAATCGCAAGCAAAATGACTTACAAAACTTACATTAAGGCAAACTTCAAAAAGAAAAATCTCTCTTTTAGTCAAAAACACACTGAACCAATTACCAACAAATGAGATAAATAAATTATTTTATTGATCCAAGACCAAGAAGATATATAGATGATCCACATCATCAGAGCAAGAGCAAAAATTCAACAACAACCCTAATTCAATAACTGCAAGAGGGTTAGCACAGTCTGATCAATAAAAAAAAACTAATCAATGATTAAGATGGCATTATTGTAATCATTATCTCAAATAAAAATGAGAGAAGGAAAGACATATATACCTCTGGTCCACCTAGCTCATGAACCCTAATAGCCTTCACCATTTTTGTTGCAGTTGCAGTAGTTGCTCTTACGGGTGGATTTCTTGGGCTTGTGAGTGTAGGAAATGGATAAAAGAAGTGGTGGGTTCGATAACTTCTCTTGTTAGTACTCCAATTCTGATTCTGAAAGAATGCTAACCTTGGATTTGGATGATGACAACACTCTGGAAATAACTGTGTTTTTAAACTGTTAGCAGCAACAATGGTAAGCGCGGTCTCTGTTCTTGCTGGAAAATCGAGGGTTAATATCATCTCTTTTTCTCATCTCTCATCTCCCCAGTGTTTGTATTATAAAAAGAAAGTACGTCCGAACTTTACCGAAATTCACAATCGATGGCATCATCTTTAAACTCTTAGCAATCTGCTTTTCGACTATTTATTTTAGTGGTTTTAGTTATTTTTTAAATAATTTTTTATATTAAAATATATATTAATAATATTTTTTTATTTTTAAAAAATTATTTTTTAATATCAGTATATTAAAATAATTAAAAATATTAAAAATATGTTAATTTGAAATAAATTAAAATATAGAAACAAATAAAATAAATTTATTAAGAAAATATAAACCTTAATATCATCTCATATTAAATCTTAAAAGTTTTTTATTTCATCAATATTACTCTTTGAATATGATCAATTTTAGAATCAAATTTTAGATAATACTAGGTAATTACCATGTGCTACACCACAAATAGAATCAAATTTTTGTAATATAAAGTCCAAGCTCTGCTAAAGTATTTTTCCAACAAAAAAATCTTCATAATTAACTTAAAATCTGATACATACACTTAATAAAATAAATTAAAAATTATATAATCTAATAAATATTAAAAAGAAATATTATCACCAACTAAAAACTAAAATGCGAAGTTGAGAAACATGTGTACGTAAAAATATTTTATGATAAGCTGCATGAAATTTTTATTTTTTAACTTAATTATATCACACTAATATCTTTATCAAAAGAATGAATATCTTTATAAGAAGAATTATAATTTAAATTCTATTGAAAATAAATAATTGACTAGGAAAACTCTTTCTTTTCTTATTAGTATCTTCAATTTAAACAAAAAAAAAATTAAAATTTTTTCTATGATATTTGTTTAATAAAAACTAAAATTATTCAGAACACAAAATAATCTAGATGATTTAAAATAAGAATTAAAAAATATTTATTAAAATAAAACCCTTGTCTCATTAACATGCTCGTTTTTTATAATAAAAAAATCACCATAATATTTGTTATACAACCTGCCATCATTATTCCCAAGTAAATTTTAGTTCTAAAAAAAACCCTAATAATTAGAATGTATTAAAAAACATAAGAATAAAAAAAATATAATATTTTCATTGTAAACTTTTTAGAAGCATCATTAAACTCGCTTAGCTAACTAATTTTAAAATTTTCTAATTTAAATTTTTATTTAATCGGAGTTTTAAATTAAATTATATAAAAATTAACTTAATATAATTTAATTGATTTGGCAAGTCAAAAAACAATTTGAAAGATTGATAAAAACTTTATTTGGCTTAAAAATATTTTAAAATATTTTTTTTTAATATTAAAATAGTGATATGATAAATCGATTTTTATCAACCCATCAATTAACTCAACTAGGTTTAATAAGTTTGTTTATCTAAAACTATTTTTTATTTAATAATATATAATAAAAATAAAAAATTCCAATAAATTAAAGAAATTAAATTTAAAATTTGATTATGATGGGATGTAAAAAAAAACACTTGCTAATATTATAAAAAATAATTTGCTATAATTGTATTTAAAAGCAAAGCAAAAGTTAAATGAAATTTAATAAAATAATATATAGAATACATTCTTAATGTGTGTGTATATATAATCTAATTTCTAAAAAATTAAATATAAATTATTGAAAAAATGGCCAAATATGCCAACCTAGAAGGCACAACACGCCTATCAATTAAAAATAATCCCAAATGCGTGGGTTTACGGTCTAAACCCATGTGCTTGAGCATTTTTTATTTCTTCTTCATAATGGATGAAAGATGTGTATTTCATTTAGTTTTTTTTTTTTTTTTGAAAAAAAAGAAAGAGAAGAAGTAGCGATGCGTCTTTCACATCCTAGTATTCTGTGTTATTAGAGAGGCAGCAAAAAAAATCATGCAATATATTAATAGAAACACTTTGACATCAAATTTAAAAATTGTTTTCAATTGAATCCAACTAACCAATGTCTTTCTCAATTATTCATTGTTTTTATGTAATTCTCTCTTTTCAAACTCAAAAACTAAAATATAAACAAAATAACATTTTAAACTAAAACATTTCATTGTCAAACTAAATTGATCAAGAAAGAAATTGAAAAATATATCAGGACAAAATTCTCCCAATAAAAACACTGACATCACAATGCTTTTAAAAAAAGAAAAAGATTGTCTTTTTTTCTTTCAATTTTAATCTTTTAATTTCTAATATTTTGTAAAATTAAGCATTAATTTAATATTGTGATAATTTTATAAAAAATAAATGATCTTAATTAATATAATATTAAATGATAAAATTAAAAGAAAAAATTAACTAACAAAGCAAAAAAAAAAAAAACTATTCAAATCCAGAGTCTTACGGTGAGGAGGGGAATAATGTTTTCCTTATCCCTTTTAGTTGTTAAATTTAAATTTAATTAATAATTAATATCTCCATGCCATTTATCCATTCACAGATAGTATCAAATAAAAGATTTCATCCATTTTGAAAATGATTTATATCTGCCTTCCATCCTCAGCACCAAACAAGCTAAATTTGTCCTGAAAATTGATTATGAATTATTAGATAAGTTGGTTTTCATTTTCAAAATTTGTCAAATCAAATTAAATTTTCAACCGTATGACTGTGTAGAAGGGAAAGTGAAAATAAATTTATTATGATTCCGTATTATAAGCGTCCATTTAAGTAAATTGGCTCAATTTCATACACTAAATACAAATACTTAATTGGATGTAGAGACTATGCAGTATGCAATCTGGTTCTTGAGAATTGAATGGTAGTTTTGGCAGCGATCAGACTATCAAAGGGGTTTTAATTGGATGGTTTTCATGGCCGTTCTTTGATATTTGGGCGGTGGCGATAGGATGTTGATCATCGGTGATGGTTGAGGAACAAGCCGTACTGGTGGAATTTGGCTTTTCATGTTTCCTTTTATGTATTTTTTTCATGTGTAAAATTACTTTGTTAATTATCGTTGTCTCGTCCAGCTCCCCTCTTTAAGGGTCCGCTTTGATGTTGGAAAATTTATTAAAATATGGTTAATGAATATATTTAAAGTTAAATTAAAAGTGAGGTTTATTTATTTTTTTGAATTAAAATTTATTAGAATTTAATCTTTAATATAATTTTTTAAAATAAAATATAAGGATGATTTAAGTAATTTGTGAGTGAATAAAAAATTAATTTTAAATACTTTTTAGTTGATATATTTTGATGAAATTCAAAAACTTTCTAAAATAATTCTATTTCTCGTATGAAAAAAAGCAAAACTTTGTTTGTGTTTATAAAATTAAAAATTAAAAAGTTAAATTGGACTCAAATAATATCCAAACTTTTTTTTAAAAAAAGTCATAAGTAAAGTAAACTTTAAGTCTAGAATTCACATGTATTAGCTTGCTCAATTTGTCTAGCCTAACTTCAGCTTCGACTTTAGATTTATTGTAAAATAATATTTCAAATTATAAAAAAAAGATTACCAATTAAAATTTAAACTCTAGCATAATCAATGAAGAATTATTTCTTTGAGCTTATTATTTTGTTTAGTCCAGCCAATTAATGTTAATAGTCTTTTCTAGAAGCATTTTCTATGAATTTGAATATTTTTTTGATTAAAAATTTAAATTTATGGTCACTATGTTCAAATTAAAATTTATATTGACTTATCAAAGATTGATAACTAAAGGAATTTATTCTGATTATTTTTTAACCTTTTAGTTTATAAAATTCACTATAAAAAAAGGATATTAACGTAGAGTTTAACACATATTTTTTCTAAATTTTTACACACTTTTCCATACCTCATTTTTAGTGTTTTTTTTCTCTTTTTATGCTTTGATTTTCGTTTCAAATATAGATTTTAGGTTTATCTCGTTGAGAAATACCTAAGTAACATATTCTTTGATTTAAATATCTTATTTAGAAATACATATAAGCTAAGGTGTTATTATTGAAATTTTAAGAGGTTTATTGCAAATATCACTTGTAACAAAAGAATAATAATAAAATTTTAAAAATAAATGATTTATTACTGACAATGACAATGACAAAACTTCATTAATTTTAAAGTGTTTCAATAAATAAGCATTTTTCTTTTCTTCCATTTAATTCTATTTTTTTAGTATGCATGCTAGGAATTAGTTTTTTTTCAATCTCTCATGCTTCTTTAAATGTATGTTTACTATAACTTTTTAGTCTTTGATAGGATGATTTTCATGATATTTATATTTACAAGTTTATTGTGTGCTTATAGTTTCATCATGAATAAACTTGAGGCATTTCTTAAAACATTTTTATGTTTAACAACTTTCATTGAATTTCTCTTTGTAAAATGAATTAATTAACACCAGGATTAGATTTTTAGATGGTGAAAATGTGGTTGATTTTTTATTCTTTATATTTTCCTATTAATTATTATTAGGCTTATCTAATTCTCCTATTTGAAAGGAATATTGTTTTTATATTTTTTTTCTATTCAATATTAATAAGATAATTTAGTTTTTTCTATGTAAAGAGTTGTAATAATTTTTTGGTAAGTGAAACTTAGATGAATATAAATTAAATATTTTGGGTATCTCCCTATAATTATAGTATTTTTAATCTTTGGAGGTTTTAACTTATAATAAATTTTTTGAGTTTTTAAAGTGATTTTAACTTATAGCAAATCTTGTTACTATTCACTTCACGGTTGAGGTAACAACTCAACAATTCCTAGTGTTTCTTTGTTGTGTATTGTTAAATCATTATGGTTAAGGTTATAAAAAATGTGTATTAAAACCTAATAATGTTTTATATGTTGTTATCGAAAATATTGATGAGATAATCGATGATGATAAGAGAGTCCCATACAAGAAATTGAAATTGGTTTGATTCGGCAGAAGGCAAAAAGATGCCCGGCTCTGCTTTGCTCTCACATTCGTTGACCATCTTTGACGCAATCCTGTCTTAGAATTTAAAATAAATTGGTTTCATTAAAATGTCCAAACCGTCAAGTTGGGTTTCAAAAAAGCACTCTTATTGTCTTCATTCTTCCTGTGACGAGTAGCTCTGCCTACGCACCTCTTGTGATTATTAGGGCGTGGAACCAGCCACACACGTTGCTCACCAAACTCCATTCGCTAGGTGTCACCCTCTAAAAAATATTGAGATTTGCTCTCTCTAATAGACTAACAACCACCTGCCAACCATCTACAATAACCAAGCTCCTTGAATTCTAGTCACCGTTCTTCATATATATAGGCGCGCGCGCGCACACACACACCTACGTCCCAGTCCAACTCCCTCTGCCCCAAGAGTTCAGACAATCAAAGAGAATCACCATTTCCAAACTCGGCTCCCTACAGCACAAAACACAGTACAACTCTCCAAAATTAATCAAAAAGGGTACTCACCTTTCTCTCTTCCATCTTAAATGGCACCAGCTTCTTTCAATCCTATTTCAAACACAGTTTGTGTAATGGATGCTTCAGGCAGCCTTGGCTTGAGCTTGGTTCAAAGGCTCCTCCAAAGAGGCTACATGGTTCATGCTGCAGTTCAAAACCGTAATTGTAATGCTTACTTTCTTCTCGTTTTATTTTTTTTCTTACCTTTTATTACTGGCGGCCCTACGTCCTTCTTTCCTTCCTTCCTTCCCTTTTCCTCTTCCTTTTGCATGCGTGGACTAAATTCATAATTGTTTTGGATATTTTCAATAAGGTGAGTTGCAACTCAACGGTCTATCTTGTGAAAACAAGAAGCTGAAGATTTTCTATGCAGACCCTTTTGACTATAAGAGCATAATCGATGCATTGAGAAGTTGTTCTGGTTTGTTTTATACCTTTGAGCCTCCAGTAGACCAGCCCACTTATGATGTGAGTTCTTTTTTTACTTTTCATGTGTTAGAAGTAAATTTAATTGCACTTTAGCTTTCATGCGATCTCCAGCTATGGCATAGATCAACATGGCAGCTTGAACTAATAATAAACTAGAAAAAACAGCACAAGGCACTACACGCTGTCCTGTGAAAAAAAGTACCATGAACTTAAAAGCTGAGCTAGAAATTTTTTCTGGCTGGAATATTAAATAAATATATATATATAATTTAAGATAAATTTATATATATAAATTTTTGGAGTTAATAGTAAAGTTTTAATTCAAATATACTATTAAAATATTAAAAATATATAATTTTAAAATAAAAATAAAAATAAACTCACTATTAAAGTTATATTATTCGATATTTTATGGGTTATAATATATCTATAATCGAATCTAAATCGATATTGTAATAATTTTTCAATTGAGATAAAATGACAATCTCATATCGACTGAAAAATAAAATAATTAAAAATTTTTTCATATCTTAATTTCTTCTTCTTTCACTTAATCTTTTTTAGATTAGTATTTTATAAGTTGGAAGTTGTAAGTTTACAAGGTTATATTCTCGCTTTTTTATTTTAATTTTTTTCTTAGGTTTTTTTATATTTTTCTCTTACTTTGCTCTTTTTTTTTCTTGCCTTTTCTTTTCTTTCTTTTTCTATTCTGCTTTTACCAAATCGACCATATACAAAAAGAAAAAATAATTAATTTGTTTTATTTTTTAATAACAAATAACCATTTTATTTTTATGGAATCGTTTTGCTTTTATTTAATTGTTTTTTATTAGCACTACCAAGTTCTATTCATTTTAAAATTTTAATTATATTTTATTTAATATATTTTAAGATTCCTCATGAAATTTCAGTTCAATCTGATAGTTGGATTGAAAATTACACTCAACAATATAAAATTAGTTAAATTATGATTTTTTATTGAATTTCTAAATTTCTTTAAAATTTTTAAAATTTTAATCCAAGTTAAAACATCATATTACAAGACTCCATATAAATTTAACCCAGGATATTATCCATATGAATTGTCCTATATTCTCTTAAAAGAGAATTATCTCATCTGAGTTATATTTATCTTTTTTTACAAAAAAAAAAATAATATGAATAATTTTCACAATCATAAAATCTTATGTTTGTGTAGAAAGGAATACAATTTTGAATATTTCCAATAATTTCTCTTTTTCCACGTAGCACAAGAAACTTTGCAATTCAAGTAATTTGACGACGAGAGAGAAGTGTTGGCGAGCTGAGAAGAACTCTTTTACAGTCGCAAAGCTCTAAAATCATGGACTTTGAATGAAAACTAATGCTACACGCCTGCACCCTTCGTTTACGCAGAGTAATTAATATGGGAGCTGCATCATTGCATGTAAATTTTCAACTTTAATTTGACATCACACACTAGCTAGCTCATAAAATAGACGTCTAGATATTTATAATTGGAAGTTGAATAATAATCAGGCTACCGTTTTGTGATCTATTTAGCTCTAGTTGTTTTGTTCAATATTGTCCGAAAAAAAAAATTAACTATTAAAATCTTATAATTTTACCTGTTAATTTAAACTCAATAAAATTGGTAAAATTATACCGATTTTATGAGTTAAAAAATTAAAAAATTATATATTACTTTTAATATTTTTATTATTTTAAATTTATATCTTGCAAAACTTATATAATTTGATAATCAAGGATTTGGTTTTGACTATAATTTTTTTAACTTTTTTAATGACATAAGTTATTTGTGGATTTTATTTTTGTAATATTAAAATACTTATTTATTCTTCATAATTTTTTATATAAATTATTAACATATCAATTAATATATTACTCTATTTTAGCTAGCAAATATATAGAATAAAAATTATAAATTAACACACCCGACTTTTAGAATAATTAATGTTAAATGATTTATTAAAGGAATTATTTATTGTAAATGATGAAGTGAGTGAGTTGATTTATTTAAAAAATAAAGGAATATGTAAATAAAATAAAAATGTTTGAATTTTTTATTATTTATTTTATTTTATTCTAATTATGTTATATTGAAATTATTAATATATAATTAATAAAAAAAAATTTATTTATGATTTTATAATTTCTTAAACTTATAATTTAAATTTATATTGTATACTCTCCTCGCGTAAAAAAATATATTTGTTACATCCTTGATTTTGTCACAAGTAGCTTGAAAAAACATCGTGGACAGCTTTCAGTACTAGTACTAGTGTAGCCATAAAGTTGTTAACATCGATCACGGCCTCCCCTGCTTCTTTGAAAGTGACTAGCGGCCTACTCTTGTATGCATAACATACTAAAAGCAAGAAATTTGTTTTATATATATATATATATATATTCAAAGTTTCGCTTGCTCGAGGCCTCGAGTCTACCAATCAATTCCAAAAATTAAAAAAAAAATCTTAAAACTTGTTGTCGCTTATGCATGTAATCAATCCATTTTATTTGCGCCCTTCTTTTTTGTTATTTATTATTTATTGAATATGATTTGAATTGTTTTTTTTTTTTAAAGAAGAAGAGTTATCATAATAAAATATGCTATACTCACATGAAATGAATTGTTCATCCTTTTTAAAATACTTACCTCCCATGCCATTCCGATTTAATAAGTACACACACAAGGATTGATCACGTGGTCTTGCTTTCTTTTATTTATTTTAGTTCACTAAAGAGTTGTCGAGTGGATTTAATTACGCCCATTACGGTGAAGGGTCTCGTCTCATTATTAGCAAAGGAACAGACTTTGGTTCTTACAGTTGACTAGTGATAATAAGACGCCGTATCTGCCATGATGAGAAAGTATTCGGATTATCGGATACTTTCTTCGCTCTCTCTCTGTCTTAAAAAAAGAAAGAAAGAAAATTCATCGAAGTTGCTTTTCAGTTTTCACAGTTTATGTCGAACCGTAGAAGCATAAACTTGTGCAAGAAAAAGTTTCAGAGGAGTAAAAAAGGGGGGTAGCGGCTGTTTTTAAAATGTTTTTTTGTTTGAAATTATTTTAAAATAATTTTTTTTATTTAATAAAATTTATTTTTAATATTAATATATTAGAATAATATGAAAACACCTAAAAAAATTAAATTGAAATAAAAAATATTTTTTAAGATAAATAGTTAATTGGGTTTGAAGATATTTTAGAATTAAGTTATAAACAACATTTCTAAAAATTTTATTTTTTTAATTTTTTTTTAATATATTAATATTAAAAATAATTTTTAAAAATTAAAACTTTTTTAATAAAAAATACTTTTAAAAAAACACTATTAAATTCTCAAACATTCTTTAAAAAATAATTACAGTGCTCTTTCCTTTCTGTCAGTGTCTCTCTCTCTCTCTTTTTTTCCTCTTCCGAATTTGGGGTTATTGGGAGAAAAGTAGGCGTTCAAATTTTGTCCCATTTGACAAACTGGGGGCCATTGGATGGGTGCAGGAATCCATGACAGAAGTGGAGGTGAGAGCAGCACACAATGTTCTGGAAGCATGTGCACAAACTGACACAATTGACAAGGTTGTGTTCACATCCTCGGCAACAGCTGTTATTTGGAGAGATGATCGCAAATCCGAGATAGCAGACCTTGATGAGAGACACTGGAGTGATATCAATTTCTGTCGTAAATTTAAGGTACAGCCTTCTTCTTTTTTATCTGAATATATATGCTTGATCAATTCCAGTGCTATTAATTACGAGCAATTTTTTTATATTATTATTATTATTATTATATGATGATGTTATGATTGGAATGAATTCTCGGACAGTTATGGCATGCCCTATCAAAAACACTAGCAGAGAAGACAACTTGGGCGTTGGCAATGGACAGAGGAGTGAATATGGTATCTGTCAATGCAGGCTTGCTGGTGAGTCCTGAACTTTCCATCAAGAACCCATATTTGACAGGAGCAGCAGAATTGTATGAAGATGGGGTTTTTGTGACTGTTGACCTAAATTTCCTGGTGGATGCCCACATATGCATCTATGAAGATGTGTCATCGTATGGACGCTATCTATGCTTCAATCATGTTGTTAATCGGCACGAGGATGCTATCGAGCTTGCTTCCATGTTAACTCCTTCCGCACCTTCACTCCCTCAGAGGTTAGCTAGTGCCTAACACGTAGACTAATAAATCAAATGACTAATGTTCAACATCGTTGATTGTTCAATACAACCTCCTTAATCGCTTTGTTACAGCTCTGACCAGGACGTGAAGATCATTCAACAAAGGATAAGCAACAAGAAATTGAACGAATTGATGGTTGGTTTTGAGAGCGGTCCCCAGCTTGTGGATTGATGGGAACCTTGTCTGAAATTGCTGATCGGTGATGGAGGCAGCTCACCACACTTGCAAGTACTGTATTAAAACGTTGTTGTATTGACGTCGACCGGCTTCATGGGTCATGCAACTGTGTATATATAGTTCTTTTCACATCTTAATAAGTGGGAGAAATTAACATGAGTAGCCACTAAAACAGTGTTTGTTTGATTATGTGGTTGTTTTTGTGTTTTAGACAAACTACAATAAATATTTATTTGATAATATAATAAAATGAAGTATTGAAATGATAGGGCCATGTACTTTTTATGTTTACATCACAAGTTAACAAGAAGCATCATCAACCTGCTTTTCCACACCAGATTCAAATGCTCCCCAATTCCAATTCCAGTTCAAGAACAGAAGCTTTACACACACACCGTTTAACAAATCTTATAACTAAATAAAGTTTGAAATTAACATTTTAAAATTTTAAAAATTATAATACAACGGTTCAACACATTCTAGCCAGTTTACATTGCAAAATATTTCTCAACCTTTGTAAATCAATCACATCCTATTTTTAATTTATCTTATGACAATATATATTTAAATATAATAAAAAATATTTTTTCCTCTTTTTAATTTATCTTAAGTAAATGTATGTTTAAATATAATGCAAATTAATAAATAAATTAGTTGTCTTTTATAGTAATTTAACATACATCATTAACTTCAACCACAATTTTAAATAAACACTAATAATTTATTGTTTCTTAAGAAACATTTTCAATTATAGTTTTATTAAAAATTTATTGAAATCAAACATACCATAATAAAAAAATAATTTTAAAAATTAACTTTTTTTAAATTTTAACACAAAAACAAATACACTCTAAGTGTTAAGCCAGCTATAATGATGGCTTGATCATATACATATATAGCGAGGAGGAGTGGATAGTATGGGATTGATTAAAATCAATTGTGATAAGATGTACACCAAGCACGCATCAAACTCTTATTGAAAGGCAATGATATTTGATTTCTGCAATCCATCTCACTGTGCTTTGCTCTGGAGTTCTTGATGCATCTCACGAGGGAAATTATATATCCTTTCTCCCAAACATGTATATTGTATTTAAAATTAAGAAATTAAATAAAGCAAGGACTAAGGAGGAGAGCACTCGCACATTCACATTATATTTATCCTCTTCTAAAGCAGTTCTAAACCCAAGAGGTGTCCAGTCGAAACAAATAAATATAACTCTTAAGAGAATTTTAATTTCCAAAGCTTATATCGTCTAGTTTGTCCATTTGTTTTATTTACTAATTTTATCCCGAAGTTGTAGCGATCTCTCCATCTCTCATTAATCCACACGAGAGAGGAAAAAAACGTAAAAATATGTTTATTTAAAAAAAAAATAGATGACCAATAAATTTTATAATATTTTTGTTAGACTAATAAGTTCACTTATTAAGTTTTTATTCCAAATAACTTTATATTTTATTCTATTTTCCTATAAAATCTTTTCACTTCAATTGAAAAATTAATATTTATTTCTTATTAAAGGCAAATCAAATTAAAAACTTTATCGAGCGATAGTTTACTTTTTGTGGTATCATTAAAGTTAGAAAGTCTCTCCATTGAGTTTCTTTATGAAATAGAAATTTATAGATATAAAAATTATTGTTATTGGTGGCTAGAATTTTTCCATTTAAAAGCTTTCTCTATCTTTTCATTTTCTAACAACTTTCACTCTCTTATCTTAGCTTTTATGAAAAAAAATATGAAAAAAAAATGAAATTTATGATTAACAGATAAAATTCAAGAACAATAAGGACAAATTGGTATGTGAAATGAAACTCAAGGATCATACCAAATTTTTTCATGTCAATTTAAAAAAGGCTTTGTTGTTTTGTTTTTTTGTTTACTGTAGTACCTATTCTTTCAACTATAAGCTTTGGTTACATTTAAAAAAATACCTTTTTTAATTCAGTTTTAGAAATTCCTAAAACCCTTGAACACACTATTGAATGTAAATAAAAGCAATTCCAATCATTTAAAATGATATTAATATAACATGTAAGGATGAAATTGCATTGAAATAAAGTTTCATAATTAAAATAAAATATAAAAAACAATATTGCTCTTTGAACAGTGCCATCCACTTGAATTCACTCTAGCACGTGAATTTCAATTTCTTTTTGGGTATTATTTTGGTAATAGATAACATTAGATTGATTACTAAGCTACATTGATTAGATTTTTACTAACATAAAAAGAATGTTTTTTACTAACATAAAAAATAATGTTGGGGAGATACGAATATTTTTAAAGTGAGAAAGAAAGATTGGAGACATGAGTGATTCAATTTACTAAATCCAATAAAAAATGTTAATTTAATAACATGGTTAAAAACAGGGCATGATAATAAATAAAGTGATTTTTTTTTTGCAATAATAACTATAAAAAATGAGCTATCATACTTGAGAGTAGAAAAAAAAAATTGTTGGAGAATCTCAATCATTTCATTGTGAATATTGCCTCACAACCAGAAAATACTTACCAAGATGATTATAATATCACAATGAAAGATTACACGAAAATATCAAAAAACAAGAAATGATCTAAAAATCAAACCAAACAAAATATCATGAAGTGAACATCTCATACTTATATTTAATTAATTAATTTAATTTAATTAATTAATTTAATATAATTAAAAAATAAAAATTCTTTTTTAAAAATGCTAAATCTAACAAAGAATAATGGTAAAAAAAACATGAGATAGTACGTGTTATTTTTAAAATTAGTAAAAAATAATCTTCTAAACTTGCAACCCATGAAATCTTAATCTTGGATTCAATTAAGAAGCTCATTTCTCAACTAATTTAATATTAAAAGATGAAATAAAAAAATAAATTTAAAAATATTTGCCAAAGTAATTCAAATAGCAATCAAAAGAATAAAGATGACATTTAATGTAAAATTAAAATTAAACAAAATATAGATGAATGAAATTAAAAAAATATATATGATTAAGAAAAGGGAGAAAAACAGAACAAATAGTAATAAAAAAATAAGGATCAAATCTGACAAATAAAAAAATTAAAAAAATTAATTTTATAAATTATCTCAATTAAAAATAAATAAATAAAAACATAGTATAAATTTGAAGGAAAACAAATTTGAAGAACTGCTTTAAAAATATAGAGGTTTAGGTGGGATAAAAAAAAGAAAAAGAGAGAAAACAATGATAAAAAAATGCTGTTGATGCTAAAATAAAGGTTCGCACACAACACGTGCCATCTTGGAAGGGAAAGGCCGTCAAGATGATTTAAACATCACTCTAAAAGCCACCATTTGATCATTTCTCTACCTTGTATGTGCGGGGTTGAATGGTCTAGCTTTAATCCATTTGTGTAATGTTAGCATTAATTTTTCTTTTAATAATATTTGTATTTATTCTTTATTTTAGCTTTTACAGCATTACACCAATCCATACTAGTTGGAAAATTGATAAAAAAATTCTCTTATAATCTCTAATCAATCTTTCATGTTCAATTTTCTAAACTGGCAATTTATGAAATTTTAAACTTGTGTTCAACCAAGAAACTTATTTTTTAAATAATTTAACGTTAAATGATGAAATAAAAAAATATTTAAATCTAAAGAAATTATTAAAGTAATTCAAAAAACAATCAAAAGAATAATGATCAAATTTGATGTAAAATTAAATTAAACTAAATATTGAGGAGTGAAATTAAAAAGTAAATTTAATTAAGAAAAGAAAATGACACCATCAAAAAATTGATGTCCTATCCCAAGTACAGGAGTGTTAAAGTAATATATAACCTGGCAAGACCGAGGTCGAATCACAGAGAGGTGGACTATATAAAATTATAAATAACAAATGAAAATGAGTTGAAAAAACCTTTTGAGATGTGATATTGATGTGAGTATTAATCAAAGATAAAAGCAATTGTCAAGATTAGATGATCCACTAATAATATTAGAAATAAGTATAGTATAATCTTTTTTTTTATTGATAAACTAAAAACCACATACAAAAGAAATTCTAATCAGATGATTTATCCTTAATAGTTCATTGTAAATTTTTAACATGATCATATTAATTATCTTATTTCAGTAACATCATACTTTTAAATATTGCTAGGAATTCATGATATTAACTTATGTTAACAAAAAATCAAGTTCTTTTCATAGCATATGTGTATGTTATACCATATAGTAAGTTATGAAAGTATCAAGTATTTGTTGTACCAAAGGTTGTAAAACACAAATCTAGATTAATCATTTAACAAGTAAGGTATTAAGAATTAGTAAAATAAAAGGATAAGACATGTTAATAACAAACTTTCTTGGATATGAAAATTGAAGTCCATATTGAGTTTATATTATATATATTCTAACACCATTAATGAAATCTTTTTACATTGACATAATAAACTTAGCTAAACATTGTCAATGAGAGAAACATAAATAAATAACATAAGAATATAATTATATCAAAAGGCATAAATAAGAAATTAATGAAAGTAAAACTTAAACATTACAAAAATATAAAGAAAGAAAGCAAGAATATAATCTTGATCTGTAAACCAAGATGTCTAAATGTATGGTAAATGCCTTCTTTTATAGGTTAAAATTCAAAACCATTCTTGTGATGACTAATTGTTGAGTGGGTGATCACCTTTTTGATTCAGTGACAACTTTTATTTTCTTATTTGAACAAAATATCATTGTTAATATTATAATTTGAATAAATATTTTTCATAAAAGTTTTGGAAAATTATCTCAGCTTTTCAATAAAATAAGAATGAGTTAATTTGGACTTCTAGAACTCGAGATATGACTTCTAAAACTCGAGATATAGGTTGAACACTAAACAATATCTGTTAAACATGTTTGTATTTGAAATAAGCATTTACTATAAATTAAAGATATCTTATATTATTAGACTTGCTATTATAAAACATGATTAAGTTAGGGAATTTAATAATACTTTAAGTGCAATATGATGATATAAAACCTTAATAAAAATGCACTTTTAAGTACTAATCAGTAAACATAACTAAACAAATAATGAAAAAAACAAGTATAAAATTTGATAAATAAAAAAATTGAAAGAAACCTAATTTTATAAATTATTTTAAATTAAAATAATAATCATAAAAAAGGTCTT